ACCGGCCACGAAAGAGTCACCCGCACCAGTTGTATCGACAACATTTGGAATTTTATCCACTTTACATTCACGATAAAATATTTTGCCCGGTTTATCCGATCCATACTCAACATTGCTTACGAGTAGTACGCTATTCTTATCATTTGTTATAATCATAATACGCGGACCGCAGTGATACTCAAATATCTTTCTAATCGCCTTCTCCGAGTCGTTGCCGAAACCCATTCTATTAGCTAGGGCRCAAAATTCATTGCCATTGCCGAAAATAAAGTACGCGGCACATGCGTATGCCATGACATCTTCGAAGTTTTCGCGGACAATAAATTCGGCACTCAAATTGAGCGCCAACCAACGACGACCGCTCACATAGTTCTTAATCATATATTCGCACAACTTCTTACGGCCCGGTATGATGAAGCCCTCCACATATATAAGTTGCTTACGTTCGGTTGGACGCAAGAACTGTACCTCCTTCTCGGCTTGTTGCATAAGCTCTACACTAATACTTTCCGAGGCGCCAATGTTCGCGTAAAGCGTTTCAGTGTGAGTATCCTTATTGATGATGGATAAACACTCTCCGGTCGGCAATTCTTTGTGTGTAAATAGACTATAAGGATAGAAATAGACTATGCGCCATTAAATTTGGGAACATAAAAGTATTACCGCACATCGATGTCGTGTTCTTTGAAGTATTTGCGTAATTTCTTGCCAGCTTCATCGTCACCCACTAGGCCAATGAAGAGCGAATTGTTGCCCAATTGTTTCAGTAGTCGCACCGTATTGAGCGCTGAGCCACCAGGACTCTCCACACATTTTACCCTATAAGGAACAAAAATTATTAAAAAATTGATGTCCACACAGTAAACGCTTACCTCTTGCAAGCTTCCTTTTTTAATTCCCTCAAAGACTTCACGTCCAAGATACCCTTGGTATTTTCTACAACGTTAAATTTTTTCAGTATTCCRATTTCGCTGTTGGGCAGTCGCGCCGTGTGATCCAGCAAAATATGTCCAACAGACATGAATTTATATTGTCTAAAATGAAAGTGATTTGTAATCTCTCGGCGAACAAAGATCAAACTCTATAAATCTCTCATTATTTCCGTCCTGATCTTTGTGATGATACATATACAATGACAACATCTTATGAGTTGGCGTTACGAGCTTTCGARAGARAGGTTCTGCGGAAGATTTATGCTCCTTTGCGCATTGGCAACAAACATGAATWTATATTCGTAATGGCGAATACCGAGAAATACGACGACATTGACATAGTTCAGCGAATTAAAAGCCAGCGTCGTTCGAATGGATGAAAACACTCCCGCCGAGGGAAGTAGAGAAACACCTATACTCCATTGGCTGAGAAGGGAAGGCATTAGCGGTGCCTACGCCAGTAAAGAAGAAGTGAGTGGAACTACAGTTTCATCTAGGAAGGCTCCTGAAACCCCAATATTAAAGATCCCAAAGTGTTTTCGCCTTTACCGCGAAACTGATGCTCTAAGTGCATTATCACAGCCCTAGTGTCGGAATATTTAAGAAGATCACAAAGTGAACAATTAGCTGAGGGTTYGGAAAGGATGATAGCTCAGCTTGTTTAGGGTTCRCTTACTTTAAATRTATTAAGTACCATAATAAGAGAGTWATAGCCACTTTCTAAGTCAGTTTAAGGATGATCTAACTCATCTTGATCAACTGTATTGGCAAACCCGTTTATACTAAGGACAGTTGAAAAGTCTTCTCAGTATGTATCACAACGTACCGGCGTTCTAAGCTCTCCAARTGAGTTCCCTTCTAGTATCAGTCTCATAACCTAACCATATCTTATCTTTCCTCCTCCTGGCTCAAAAATTACTAGATTGCTACTAATTTCAAAGTCGTCAAATTTTTTCATTTTCATGTACTAACTTTGGAAGCTGTTTGTTTGTCGCAGCAGCACCGCCTTGGCGTTCACTCTGAAATAATTTAGAAAGAAAGAACTTTAAAATKAAATTGGTTGCACTTTTTATAAAACTTTTTATTTCTTTACGTTTTTACTTGCATCGCTGCTTAAAGACCGGCAACGGATTTGCAGGGCCCAGCTCCTTTTCTTAATACACCCAGCAATTTTTCTTTTTATTTTTATTTGCTTGGATGCGGTGTTTACGATCCGGAGGCCTGCTAACATTTTAACGCTTTCAAAATGTCACATAAAATTTATCTATTAAAATTTTTCTAAAGGTTTTTGTGCATGGTTTAGCCGAAATGTGTTCAAAATATGAATGTTTTTATTTTATTTATGTTTTCTTTTGAAGTAACGACCGTAAAATTATTCCATCAATGTGAAACTCATGTCGTTTAAATATATTTGAGACATATTTTTCGAACGATAACCCGGTAAGAATCGAAAAATATTGCGCCAATTACTGGCACACTAAAAACTCCTGAAAGCGTACTGGAAATTATTTCTGAGATTATTTCACAATACGTCTTATTGAATAAATTTCTCCATGTAAGAAATAGTTATACGAGACTAATCAACTTTCGACGAGAATTCACTAATAATAATACATTTTTCGCAACTTATTTTTAATAACTTCTGGTCCAACTACAAAATTGTTATAGCCAAGATACACACCCGCCTCTGCGTAGCAAAAACTCACGTCAACAAATACAAGGAATAAAGCCGAACGATTTTCTACGAGACTACTCTCAGAGAGTGCTCATTACTAGGTATAATGGAACTGTGGAACGGCATTTTAACCCCCTTACGTACATCCGCAAACGAAACCATTGACAGGTGAGGAGTGCCGTGTCGTAGCGGAGAGAAAACAGACTGCCTACCTCGCAACGTTACAATTGAATTAAGTCTCCTCAACATCGCATTTAAGGTTCTATCGAGTGAACTGTGGGAAGGACTGAAGTCCACCGTCAACAAACTRGTTGAGTCTTATCAGTGTGGCTTTAGACTTGGAAAATCTACTATTGAGCAGATTTTCACCAGGCGTCAAATCTTGGAAAAACCCCGTGAGATCGACACACATCATCATWAAAAGGAACTGCCTTGGTATCAACATCTGCGCCGTTTGTTCTGCTTTCTCCAGAYTGGATGGAAGCGAAGCAAATGGTAGTGAACGAGGGCAAGWYGAAAAGCATTAACACCACCAACAATGTCAGCCTGGAAATCCAACGCAAGATAACTCTTGCCAACAGRTGCTACTTCGGACYGAGTARGCAATGKRGAAGTAAAGTCCCTTCTCGGCGATGAAAGGCCAAACTCTACAAGTCACTCATTATTCYCGTCCTGCTATATGGTRCAGAGRCATGGGYAATGATARCATCTAACGACTCGGCGAAACGAGTTTTTGAGAGAACGGTTCCGCGGAAGATTTATGGTCCTTTGCGTATTGGCAGGATGATCGATGACATGATGAGCTGTATGCGATATACGACGACATTGACTTAGTGCAGCGAATTAAGAGACAGTGGCTAGGTCATGTCGTCCGAATGGATGAAAACACTCCAGCTCTGAGATTATTCGACGCAGTATTTGCCTGGGGAAGTAGGGGAAGAGGAAAACCTCCATTCCGTTGGAAAGCCTAGAAGGAGAAGGACCTGGCTATAACATCAACACACACCTCCCTATTTCTAACGGCATTCTCTGACTAATACGATGTGAGATTATTGCCTTTAGTGCCGCTTGGCTATCGACGTACATATTGATCTTCTATATGTGGTGTCCAGCGTCGCTAGCTATCTCAGCAGCTTTCCTAACCGCAAAGACTACGAATCCGGACGGTTCTGCAGTATTCCGGCAGCTTGAAGGGTCACTTCAGATACAGCTCCGAGCACTAGTTTCCGGTGCCTACTCCATTAGTCACTTTTGATCCGTATGTGTAGATTTTGCAAAACTCCTGCTAATCGCGCTATGCCCGAAGGTTGTCGTGGAGAATTCACTGAACGCAGAAAGCTTTTCGCTGATATGTCGATTGGTGGTGGGTTGGAATCATTGGTCCATATTTCTTCAAAAATCATAACTGACTATTTGATGCCAGAAAGTGAAGCTTGTGATCTCACTCCTACACACCGCATCAATTAATGGATTTATTATTGACGTTTTGGTCGATTTGCTACACAGTCTGATATCACACCGTTAGTCTGTTACCTGTGGAGATATATTAAGTCTAAAGTCTATGCGGACAATCGCGCTTCAGACCTTGAAGCAAAACATCACGTTGTCTTTCGCCAGTGAAAATTCTCAGAGGTAAAATAGACACAACGATCAGACCATCTGCAGTCGCAGTCRAAACTTTTGAAAGAGATAATGTTCAAAAAATAAAYGCCAAATAAAAAATTAGGGAACCTCGAAATGGATCACCCTTTATTGGATAAATGGCGTAGGAAAATATAGAAATACCAAATATAGACATAAGACCCAAAGTATCTCTATCTGTTTTACGGTTAGCTTGAATTGAGTTTCATTTTTGTCAATTCAGAATTTGCGCTGATACAAAAACACTCCTCAAAATACTCTTCTTTGTKATCATGATGAAAACGCACGCTTGCTAGACACGCTATTTGATAACGTGAATGATAAATCCTAACGGTCGCGCTAACAAATTCTAACGTTTACTCAGCCAACTACGGAAAATCGTATATAAAACGTGCATTTCATGATTAACAAAGCAATTAATAATCAAATTATATTTCTTTTAATTTATTTGTAAGCTTTTTTTTTTTTTTGGAAGTTGAGGAACTGTATATGATATTAAAGAGAAAACCTTATAAAATGGCTACAAGATTTTTACTTTCAATGTTTTTGCGCTATTTTTAAGGCACTTACATAAAACCAACTTGAAAAACTTATTGTAAATTTTTTCATTTATGAGTTGAGAACAATGTTTGATGTGTGAACTATTACTATCAGAGCAGCAGTTTAAAATAAAATGGAAACTTAATTAAAAACGATGTATTGTACACTTTACTTTTTATTAAATGCATATTAAATGATTAATGACAAAATATGTAAGAAATTAAAATAAGACATTTAAAAATATTTGTGTGTATGTAAGTCACTTGGTCTGAGCTAAATACTATAGGGAAAATGAGATAAATTCAAATGCAGCTAGTTTAAATGGAGTATAGATGCAAATAACGATTTTTATAGTTAGAAAAACATTTRTATAATCTTATGTGCGGTTATTCGTTGCTTTAGTTTAAATCGTTAGTCATTTTCAAAGTTGTTCCATAAATAAACCCTTCCGCAACAAAAAATTATAAGCGTARCAAGCTTTGGAGATCTGAAAATAAGCAATTATAAAATTTTTGCCGTCTAATTACGGCCCACTCACTGCTCGAGACCTATTATGCGGTCACACATATGTATGTAAGTATAAGTCTGTTTCTGATTATATGTAGAACTCTACACAAACTTTTCAACAGCCACAGTTAAAACTGTGTAAAAGTGTAAGGGGTTTAACGAAAGAAAAAACACTTGAGTACATAAGCTTAAGTACTTATTAAGTGGTGGATATTGTGATGAAATTATGGCGCTGTATATTTATCAGCATTGTGCATTACCGCTTTGTGTACAAGATGAGACTGAGATATTAAATGAGTCAATGTCAAGGCATTTTCGACTAAAAATATGAATAAATGTGGCGTAAATTGAGACCGATTAGCATGCCTTTGTATGCGCGATGTATATAGTATAATATATGCTTATATATATATGTGTGTATGGATGTATATGTATATGTATGTATGTTTGTTTGTATCCGTGTGAAAGTACAAATGCACTTGTGGCATTCAAATGTTAATGAGGCAGCCAATAATTAGTAGTGTAACGATGAAACTACTGCATACTTAATAACTAATACAAAAAAAAAATATTAATAAATAATCAAAAGTTTTTGTTTGCTAAATATACTAYAGCTTTTGTAGCGCTTATTGCCGCTGTTTGAGTGCGTCAGTTTAATATTGCTTTTGTTGTTACGTTTCCGCTTTATTATATGTAACTTCATGGTAGATTGCAACCCACCACCGTCACCACTTTGGCCGCCACTTCGCTTGCCATACGCACACACTCACTTAACGGACGTTTCTSCAGCCAGGCATGCAAGAATGCCGCCACAAATGCATCACCAGCACCTGTWGAGTCGACAACTTCGTTGACCCGTGGCACGTGGAAGCTTTGAAATGTAATTGCACCTGGCGCTGCATACTCATCCTCGTAGTTGGTGATTAACTGTACACATTCACGGCCATTTGTCACCACCATCACTTTGGGTGTGCTGCTTTGCTCCAACAAATACTTGGCGGCATCATCGATAGTTTCGTAACCCAGCTGCTGTGCAAATGTCAAATGTTCCTTGCGATTGCCGAATATGAAGAATGCTGCACGCGCAAGCTCGCGCAGTTGTCGGAAGTTTTCTTTTATGATATATTCGGCATTTAAATTGATTGCCAAACGACGACGTTCTCTTATGTAGCTCCGTACAATGAAGTCACAGACATCTTGGCGTTGCGGCACAAAGAAACCTTCGATATAGAGTATTTGTTTGCGTTCGATGGGACGGAGAAAGGCCTGTGTCTCGTCATGTTCAGCTTTTCGCAAATGGTCGACAGATAGTTTGGCCGATGCGCCGATATTGGCATACAGCGCTTTTGTTTTCGTATCTTTGTTGATGATGCAGACGCACTGRCCGGTCGGTACGTCAGTCACTGTGGCGAGTCTGTGCAATGTAAACAGAAAAATAAATTTTTTCAAGTATTTGTATTGTTAACTTTTCAAGTATCTTAAATAAGTTGTGTATATATTTAAGTTTTGTGCATCAAATTTGAAATACAAGTTACTAATGATAGTATAAAGAATCCCATTATTTACAATATCACACGCTCACAGTAATTGCAAAGTTAAATATTTACATACATACTTATATTGTATTGACATTCACAGCTTTGATAGAAAACGTGCATGCTGACGAGTATTCCCCGAGAAACTTACTTTACAACAACTCAWGTGAACATGCAATTTTTAAGATGAAAGGTAGTGTACTGGCTGCATTGCACATGCAACGACTTTAAATGAATTCATTACAAACGTGTAAAAACGTGAACTTCGATTGCACCGAAAAATAAAAATCTTTTCATACAAGAACTTGATTTTGATGGATCATTTTTTATGGCCACTATATGCTGATCCAATTTGAAAAATTTATTCAAAGATTGTAGCATTGGCTTTGAATAAAATATGTAAAATTTCAGCTGAAATTTGTGGTYCAACCCCGTAATAACTCATTTCTTTGATAATATCGTTGACAATGCCTTAGCTTACTAATAAACAACTAGTCATATGGTAATACATTTTTCTAATTCTTGGAAATTAAAAATAGCTTTCACAGCTAACTGATTACAATGCTCCATTTAAATAACAAATTAATTTTATAATCCAGTGTGTAGGGAATTCCTCTGTGAAATTTGCGGGAACAATGAAGTCAATTTTAAATATAGAATTATTTCTACTCTATTAAAAAATTACAAGTATTAGAAGCGCTGCCTGCCTGCCTTCTGGAGGAATAAAAATTAAGTATCAAATGTCATTATGTTTGTTATCATGACTTGTTGATATAAGTATACAAATGTACTTAGAAAGAGATAAAAGAAAATTTGACATTGTTCTGTCATATCCATCGCTATAACAGAGATAAAGATAAGATCAACAAAGGTGCATGCAAAAATAAGAATGAAGGTGKAAATAAACATATTATGAATGTGAGTACGCACAGATATTAAAATATACAGTCACAGCTACTACACATACATAAATATTTACAAACAAAAAAAATATCAATTAAAAAAATGAAATAAAAATGCGAGGAATTAAAAGCATGAGTCAATGACACGTTTTATTGGGGAGCTTGCAATTSAAACCGCGACCATTGCACGGCTCAAATGTTGGCAAAGAATAAAAAACAATGACCCTTACAAACGTGCAGCGGCCGAAAGGGCTCAAATTAGTAAGCGCTCATGTGTAATAAATTAACACTTACATATATATATGTATGTGTGTATATATTTAAGCTCCCACTGCTTGCACTGGAATTTGTATGCAAATGAACTTTTAGCCAGAGCTAGAAAATCAAATTTATTTAACATTAAAGAGCGGAAATGTAAGACATGGTGTGTGAACCCTTCCGAAATGCATTGCTACCAATTTAGCGAGGCGTGACTTGAATTACAGCAGAASGTGCAGCCAAGCGTGACTATTTAAATGCGGGTTATATATAAGTGTGATACGCCATGCGTGCGCCTTAAGTAAACGCAACTAGAATTTTCAAAACACATTAAAATATTGTTACTTTTTTTGGTATAAAAAATAAGCAATTCGAATAAAATATGCACGAAAACATTATTTAACAGCTCCTTATTTAAGAATACACTTTACTATAACTCTAGCTAAATTTACTCTTARTCATGCAAAATTATTAAACGCACATTGGTAATTCCCACAAACTCACCTTGCYTCAATTTCGCGTTCCTGCAGTATCTCCCTTARCTTCTCTGCTGTTTTATCTTCACCCACAGCTCCAAAGAAAAGTGCATCGGTACCGAGCTGTTTGAGTATACGCACTGTATTCAAAGCAGAGCCACCGGGATTTACTTCAAATTGCACACTACAAGAAATATGTACACATATATTAATATTATAAACAAAAGTGAATATATACAGCAATGTACGTTGTATTGACATTTTAAATGTCAATATGACCAGCTGTTTTGGCTATGTAATCACTTACCGATCGGCTGCCTCAGCTGCTAACTTTGCTAGAGTRTCCGCATCAAGTTCGCCTTTCGATTCTGCCGGTATTTCAAATTGTTTTAATAGCTCTGTATCGCTTTTCGGAAGCTGCGCGGTATGGTCCAGCAGCACGTTACCAAAAGCAACTATTTTGCGTGGTCTAAGCGTGCGAAGGAGGTTAGAAAAAATAATATATATGAGATAATAACATGGTTATTTATTAATTACGAAACACTCAGTATTGAAATTATTTTAAAATTATGATATTTACGTATTATTGTAACTGCGTTCTCCATATACATAGTCTACAACTTTTCCGTAGATCTCTTGTAGGTATTCCATAGTACGATTAAAGAAAAGCATTTGACTAACAATAGCAATTGGTAAAAATGCGATTTCACTGTTAAATCAATAAAAGCAACTTCACTTGACTTTTGCCGAAAATGAAGGTTATTCACCAATGCACCAATAAACGCGTCAACGGTAGGCTTTCGACTGAATCTGTAGGTGCCAATAGATTGAAGGTTGACTCTGTTTGTGCGCGCCGCCGCAAAGCTCTGACGACTACATTAATGGGAAGCTAGCGCTTTATACGTTGTATTATTCTTCTCTGCTTTTGCACCATTTCGGTTTTCTGTAACCTACTCCGTAACTTGCTCTGGCCATAATTTACTGAAGTGGGAAACTAGTGCTCTCACTGATATTATACACAACTTCTTTTTTTATAATAATCAAATATGCGAATCTTTTCTGTGTGTGACTTTACTATTTTTCCACACTTGTCTAAAAACGGTGTTGTTAACTCTATTAGGTGGCCTCGGGGTGTAATATTGGGGCAAACGAATGCTTTACTTTCATTTAATAAAATACATATGTATGTGGTAAGAGATGGAATTTATTTGTATTATAATATTATTTCTATGGTACGCCGAGGCAAATTTCATGAAAAAACAGGGTTTTATAAATATTAATCTTTTACCAATAGCCCTCTCATTTCGTTTTGTTATGTTACATTTGCTTACATCACTTTTATTTCCACAGCTGTTCCGCAATTGTTGCTTTTATTTACATGGCCCTTAAAACTGTTTAAACGTTTATTGAATGTTGAGTACAGAATACAAAACCGAATTTTTATATCACAATCAGTTGCGCGTTTATTAGTTATTTTGCACATTTGTAGAAATATTAGATTTTCTAAAAGGTTGAAATTATTGAATTTTATATAAAACAATAGTGTAGTGAATAAGAGCAAAATAGTGTTAGAACATGTTTTCTGAAACATTTTCAAATGTACATAAATAAAAAGCTATACATTGCAGTATATTCATATGTTTGGAACACTCGCTTCATTGCAATAACAATTTATTAAAAAATACGTATGTATATTATCTGAATATATACTTCCAACATCGTATTTGGTTTCAATATTTTAAATTCATAATAAACTAAATATTTCTGAACTAAATTCAAGAACAGGTAAGTTATAATATAACTAAGTATGTAACAAAAACATACAAACGAGATATACTAAGCTTATGGCACAAAAGTACGTTAACAAATATGTTCATATGCTAACTTAATTTATTTTAACAGTTTCGATAAAGTCCACGCAAACGRAAAACTTCCGTATACATATCCGCTTGAAAACGGTCTTTAACTTCTATTGGAAGATCGCGTATTAAATTTGCAATATTTTTCACGAATAATTCATCACCTAGATTTTCCGTTACCGCACCAATTTGTTTATCGCATTTAGCTGAAGCACGTTTATTTTCGTATATGTTGGAATTATGAAAATCAGTATCCATTATACGTTCAATTTTCAACGGCGCTAAATCGAATCCTGGCGACTTGTTGCTTTCAAGCGAACGCTTGGTGCATTTTGATAAATTCGAATTGGATGAATTTGATTCATCTTCTGTTATTGCATTTATATTTATAAACATTTCATTTATTATAGGCTCTTCCAAGCTGGAACTTAAATCGTTTCCTCTATGTGATCTGAAAGAATTGTGTGAATAACATATCTTTAAAATTAAACATTTAACTTACCGACGCGGTATTATTGATTCTTTCAGAAAAATCATTTCTTTGTAGTATTCCCACTCATTTTCGTCAGTTTCCCCATTACCTATCAGCATAAACCCATCGGCTCTTTTCATTTGCTTGCAGAATCTTTCCCGCAACAGCTTCCAGCGCGCTTTGCATTCACTAACTACAATTAGAATATAAATTAAGAACATAATTGGGCCATCTTATAAAGTTGTKACGGCACCTGCTCGATCCGTTTGGTTAGCCACATCTTGCCAAGCGTCGTTGCGTTTATTCCTATTGTAATAGTTTTTATGATTTTTCTCGTACAGAATTGGTTTCTCGCGCACTGATTTTATGAGTTTCAAATAGAATTCAGATTCAATTTTTTGTCCCATTTTTAAACGGTGCACTTAAGAATTTGCTTACGCAAAATGTCAAAAGTATTTCTAACGTTTCACTTCAACAATTGCTTCAAACTTAAGCAATCAGCTGATGTGCAAGTAAAAAGTCGATAACCGATATGTTGATTGCAATCGTTTTAAATTTTTGGGTACATTGGAGAAGTTTATTAGTTGTTTGTATGTTATAAGAAATTGGTACTAATGAAAATTTTGTAAACAAAAGTGCATTTTAAAATGTAATAAATACTATATATACATATATCTACTCTGGCTGTTTAAATGCAACTTCCGCCTCTGTAGACATGTTTACATTCATGATTGGCTATAGTTTGGAAGCCACTGACGTTTTGCAAGCTTTCCGGCGTAAAATGTTTAAAAGTTAAAGTAACAATACAAACAAAAAATTAAAATTTAAAAAAACAAAACTTAATTATACTACTCAAACAATCTAAAGGAAAAATTTGCGACTGATGTGCTAAGAGAATGACGAATTCGAGTTGTCATTTCAGTAAATAGTGGTGAATAGACACCTGCGACCTTTGATTGCAATACAAAAAATCCTAAGTGCTAAGAAATTTGTACTATCATTTTCGATTTTAGTAAAAGAGAAAGTTTATTAATTAATTTATTTTTTATTTCTGTTTTTTACATAAAATGATTAGACGCATACATTTGTTAAGAAGCCTACTCTCGAACAATATGAGTTCATATTCGTTAAAATCATTATTCTCAGAAGCTTTTCTGCTCCTACTAATTTACTTAATTATCAACATTGAACTGCAAGCTAACAACATGCACAGACACGCACAAACACGGCTGCACAAACATTTCACAATACAAGCAATCAACAAAAGTTTGCAGTCAAGACCAGCTGGGGATTTCCAGTTCTTTTGCCAGCGATAAATTGCAAAAAGAAACTTGCAATCGGATGGACCAGAAGAAAAATTGCAAATAAGAAACAAATAAACTGCATGAAATCGTTTACCCTGATTACTTGCACACCTACATACATAYGTATTTGTGGATGTATGTACTACTATGAACTCGGTTTCGAAATGATGCGTCGTGTGCGAAATTGCTCTCTGTGCAGCTTCTTGCATTTTTCTTGTTTGCTGCTCTTTTGAGTTGGGGGATTTCTGCGTAAATACCCASGCGTAATGAATACGTTTGTTACATACCTACATACATAGCATGTACATATGTATGTATTTTTTAAAGGCGTGAATTTTTTAATTTAGGTAATTTACATTACTTTCATAAGCATTTTTTGTAGTACGCTGGGTGATTTACCAGGTGTAATAAATGATGCTTGCTGCAACAAACCTTTTCTGCAAAATAAATTAAAAAGGTACTCAAAGAAAATCTTGGTGAATTATGTAAGCAAAAATTAATGATTTTGTAATATTATAAATACTTTTTACATGCATACGTACATATGTATGTACATTTGTACACACGCAGCTACATACGTATGTATTTATGTACATATGTACGTAGCTGCGATTAGTTATCTTAGAGAGTTCCTACTAAAGAATTGTACGCAAAGTTTGAGATATCTGAAAAATTCTTTGAAATAATGTTAAAGAATTCAAGTAATTTTTTGGAACAAGGGTTTTTAGTGTTTTTTATAAACAATGTGGTTTCTTAATATGAGGTTTTATCGTATACATATGTATGTATGTATGTATGTATATATTTTTTTTTAACTTCATTTGTTTCAAATGCGTTATCAGCCAACTTTGGTTAAAAAGTGCACAAAAAGTAAATTCGTCTTAATTAAAATTTCACGGAAAAATGTAACCCCATACTTTATCTGTAAGGGTTTTCTAAAATATTAAACTGCTCCAACCCCAGTATTTGTGTTAAAAATTGAAAAAATTTAACACCATCCAGCTGGTTGTAAGAGGAAAATGGTCATTTGTGATTGTTTTGTGTTTTTTTTTTTTTTAAGCCCTGAACTTAGTATATTAAGTTTGCTACGAAGTTTGTAACACTTACTTATGTAGATGAGAAACTTCGAGTCCCCATGACCGTCTGTCCGACTGTCAGTATATACGCGAACTAGCCCATCAGATTTTCAGATGTGGTTTAAATATTTTCCATAAATATTTTTCTTACTAAGAACTTAAAGGAGTAACCTTAGTCTGAACCACCGGTTATTGCATCACTAAAGCGACTGAGGTGATGTGATCCCTGTCCACGTAGATAGAACCTAGTGCCTTGAACCTGCTTCTGAAAATTGCTGGACAATCCARAATTTGTGCAARAGACTGTGCCCATGTTGGACAAGTGCTTCCTAAGCCTGCAGTGCGCGACAAGGTGGCGGAATTTGTCTAGGGGCAGGCTGATCATTTCCTTAAATCTTGCGAGATTGTACCCTCCTAGAAGCAGCTTGGCATAGCGCGTTTCTGCTGTATGCTGCCAATGCTGTTCTCTCCCCACTCTCTCCCCCGGTCGAATCCGTGTATCCAGATTAGGTGTACGCTGTTGCACACTGATAGGTGGTACAGCCTTGCTATACACTCCTCCATTAAAAGCGATTTAACCTCATCTGCTGGGATCGACTTTAGTGTCGCTTGACTGTCGGTAAGTATGGCCATAGTTGCAGTGGATATTGGGTTTTGCGAACTGACTCATAGCAAAGACTTATGAATGAAAAATTTATACTTCTAAAAAGGAGACGTTTTTGTGAAAAACCACACCGCGGCTAAACAGTCGAAATTACAAATTTTATTCCTTCGATCATTATCTGACAAATATATCGAAGAAAGTCAACTGAATATTGCAAGTCCGTCGTTTCAATCGTTACGAAGAACAACCGCCATCCCGAACGGGGGTGTCAATCACTGTTGAAATATATTCTCTAATGCATATAGTATGCTCTAATGCATATAGTATTTCCTTTAACTCCGGTAGTTTTCGATAATCCAGTATTGTCAAAGAAATGGGTCATTAACTCAGGCGAACCGCTTGCTTCTTCGAGCTTACCACCCCTCCGAGGTGTGTAGCTACCTGTGGCATCACTCTCAGAATCATTGTACTTACTGAGTCCCCTCATCGTGACAAAATAACAATCTACAAGGTGGATAATAACCAATAATTCTTCTAATGAACTGTTACCTGATTTAATCTTACAACAACGGTGAGTTTAAATTAAAAATTACAAAATAACTGTGATCTCTACAAAACGTGAGTCTGGAGCAAAATAAGTTCATACACCTCTATATATACATATGTATGTATGTATATTTGGAAAGCACTAAACTCTCACACCGATATGTTTAACATAAAAAATTTGCTTACGTGCAAAAATTTGACGCGGCGCAAGGCAAAAATTATTAATGCAAACATTTGCATACAGTCTAATTTTTTTCATTAGCATTATACAAATTCATTTATTGCGTATAATTTCGGACAATGTATGTATGTATATAATATTTTAACTCGTCCCAGCCCCTCCGCAGCCTGAGTTTGCATACCTTACTTTTGATTGCAGTAAATGCGTGATACCTTTCAGTATGTTCGTACTCACTACTCACACACATCACTCACTTTCGCAGGCTTCTGCCTCAATACTTCATTTAACCTCTTCTCGCTTAAAGGGTGGTCCATATTTTCGTTTTTTTTTTTTTTTTTTTTAATATTTGGATGATACTTGCACATATCGGCAGTGATTTCGTCTTCGACACTCGAAATTTTTATGGAAAGCCGTTATTAGTCGCCATATAACGAATTACAGAATATTAAACAAAAATTGTTTACAAATTTTAACCCAAACTCAATTTTTTCAAGAAATAATTTTCCCTCTCGGACCTGGAAGTTCGAAAACACATAGGTGATCTTTCAGAAGCCACAGTATGTCCAAAAGTGACGGCCTAGACGGCCTAGACCTTCGTCAAACTTAATTCCCAACATAGTTGGGAAAAAAAAAACTGCGAATCCTTCCGATTGCGTAGACACGACTGCGATAGGCACACATGCCGTACATCCAAACAGTATCCATAGCAGAATAAGAGCTCGAGTTGCAGCGTAAAAGCAGCG